AGAGAGAGAGAGAGAGAGAGAGAGAGAGAGAGAGAGATAGAGAGAGAGAGAGAGAGAGAGAGAGAGAGAGAGACAGCATACTTACATTGTCTATCTCTTGTTCTTTGTTTCTGGTAGAGAGAGAGAGAGAGATTTCTGTGCCCAACAATGGGAAGAAGTGAGGCTGTCACAGCATGACCTAGCAAAGACTAACCTCGATGAACACAAACATTGTTGTTGCAAGTGTTCTGGTCATTCAGTGTTAGATCATGCTGGCAGCTTCACTCATTCCCCTGAGCACTTCTCAGTAGGCCTCACTGAACCATTTCTCTGGAAAGATAAACAACACATCACACATGGAAAAGAATCTTGATGGAACAATGTCACACCAGGAAGATGAAAATAACAGCTCAAAAAGATCATGAAGGAAAAGGAAAGATCCTAGTGATGGAGAAGACAGGAAGAGAAGCCAAGAAAGAAGACACACACACAACATGGAACAAGCATGTAAAGCACAATGATGAGAAGAAGAGAAGAGACGAGGGTAAAGAAGCATCAACTCCAAGTATATCACACTCATAAGCCCCACCAACTGGATTTATAGAGGGAAGAATGGAGTGGTAGGGTGGTGGTGCAAAAGTGAAGACCATCACACAAAAACTATATTATATGATCCAAAGACAAAACTAAAGGTGGTTGAGACTCATAAAATAGAGAGAAGATCCGAGAGAGAGAGAGAGAGAGAGAGAGAGAGAGACAAGGAGAACAGCTAGCACCAGGGTTTGTGTGTTAGCTAGGGAGGTTTAGGGTTACAGTCTCACCAGTGCTACATGTATATATAGGGGAGGTTTAGGGTTGCAGCCTGCAGGTTGCAGGGTGGAATCCAGCACCACCAAAGGGTTGAAGACAGCCATATGTTTGGGACCGTACTCCCATGCGGATTCAGAAGAGCGATTACTGGCTCTCAAAGCCTTGCTATATAACGTACATGGGTAACCACTACTGCAGCCATGGCATGCATCACAAGATACCAACTTATGTTAAGGCTAATATAGTTTATGTCTTCCAAGGGGGATCAGATGGAGCTTGTGTGCTCCTCGTGAACCCCTTTTCAAAGCTTTGGCCATGGCGAAGACGAAGCTATATATGTGTCTTTTGTGGTGTGCATATATATAGTACACGTCCAGATTAATCTACCCACAACAAGTCACATCGGCCAAGAGAACAAAAAAAACCAAAGAAGGGCTCTGCGGATGAGAACAAAACTGAGCTTATGGTGTGTGACAACATGTTGTTGGATGGAAGAAAGGGTGGTCTCTAAGCTTGTCAAACTGGAGCTGCTGAAGCAGTGCAAGCGAGTTCCGAGAGGCATGGAGGTCGGTACAATAATCACTGCTTAAAAGGAGTGATGATGATATGCAATAGATGTTGCAATAAATTGATGTTGGGAATTCGTCCGAAGAAGAATTCCGGATGTGATTGAGCAGATACGTGTTGCGTAGACACAAGAAGAAGTCGAAAGATCTGTAACCTATTCAGCTCCTTCAAGCATAGGTTGTCAAATCTTTAGCCTCTGTTATCTCATCTAAAAGCTTCAGCTAATGAATTTGTGTATGTCTTATTCTCGTATATCATAACTAAGCATACTTAAAATTATTGTTATTCAAGTATTCAGCACTCTAATCTACTGAAATGTCACCCACCCTTCCTATCAGCTTAGTTCACCAAGTGAATCCCCATTAATTTAAGTTCAAACCTTGAGAAATCCTAAACTCAATTTATATCCGAAATGAGTGAAAATTTTCATCCAAATAACTAAATTCCTAATTCCGAATTATGAAAGGAACAAACTGCAAATGCAAGTTTACATTGTTGAACAAAGTGTTGAAGAGAATAGAAAATAAGAAGAATTATTAAATAAGCTTTATTGAAGAAGCTTGAATGCATTAACATCCTTATCCTATTTATACATATTAAGAAGAAGGATCTCCCTCAACAGAGTAAAGAGATTTCCTCGTATAATTGGAAAAATCTTATCTGCTGTTACAAAGTCTTTGTCCATTAAGCATCTTAAATAATTAGTAATTCCTATATCCTTTTCGACAAATATTTGTCAATATTAATGTCCTATTCTCCGCTAATTTTTCAAGTTCGATAATAGGTTTTATGATGGAAGGTGAAAGTAATTTAAACCAAGAAGACCTTAAAAAGACTGTTGCTTGGTAATTAGTTCACAAAGCACCTCAAATTAGAGTTGGCATACTTAAAATAACTTTGTATCTGTCTTCCATATTCTCATGTTTACTATTAATCAAAGTCTTGTCAATGGCAAGCATGGGCACTTCCTCATAAATATTCTCTCGAAGCAGTAGTACTTCAACAAGGCCAGATTAATTCCATCAGGTACACACGATGCATATTTTGAGAAGCCAACCAGCTTAACATCCTTCAGAATTCTTTACATCGTCAGTAGCAGTTCTCTCTGAAGCTAAAAACGCATAAAATTAATCAAATTATCATTTTATGGATGATGATTGATTGATTGATCATGTTTCGACTATCTCAATGAAACTGAAACTGTGTGGCATCCAAATCCTATGTGAACAATTTACATGACAATAACATTTCTCACAAGCAATACTTGCAGGCAGTGAAGCAACTCGCTGTTGAGTCCTTGTAAACCCTAGAACAAGAAAACCTGAATTCATGGTCCATGCAGTAGTAGTCTTCTTCTGCTTTTCTTGTCACCACCATTGAAGTGGTGACACGACAAGCACAAGCATTGCCGGTCGATAGATCAGGCTTCGATATCATGTTAAGACTGCTTTGATCGAATGGATTGGGACCATCATCATCACATAACCATTAAAGCCTCATTATCTTCTGCGTCACTTGCACATGCTCGAATTAAGCATGCTTGACCACTCAACAAAAGTATGAGATGCAGTTTAAGTGGTCAATGTCGTTTTCCTTTTAGTTTTAGATTGAAATCCTACAGTGGCAAGTTCGTTCTCGATGGGTTTCCTACAGCCTCATGGCATGCTTTTGCTGATAAAAAGAGAAGAAGAAAAAAAAAACCAATATACCGTTTA